CTACGATACATGTTGCTTTTATACAAATCCAAGATATAATTTCTAGGCTATACAAATTCATTTTCGCAATATCACTTTAATTCTATTGGTCTAATATTCGTTTGCTCATTCGTTCGCTTGTTCACTTGTTCGTTCACTTGTTCGTTTGTTCGCTTGTTTGTTTGTTCACTTGTTCGCTCACTTGTTCGCTCGCTTCACGTGATATAATCTTTATTCAATAAGATATGAGATATTTATAATCCAATAAAATATTATGACGAAAGGTCATTATACAACAATATTTATAATCCAATAATAAAATATTATGATGAAAGATCATTATACAACAGTACAGTCAAATCTCTTTATAGTCACCACCTTCAGAAAAGCAAAATTTGGTGACTATAGAGAGAATGTAACTATTAAGAAGTTTTTTTTACTATATTTATATGTAAATGGAATATCAAAATAAGGTGACTATAGAGGGGTGTAACTATAAATGGATGTGATTATAAAGAGATTTGATTGTAATTATAAATCAAGAATCAATAAAATTATAATAACTAATAATTAATAAAAATGATATAATAATTAAATAAAGTGATTAATGATTTATAATATCATCAAATATAAATAAAATAAGTAAATAAATTAATAAATAAATATTTATAAATAGAAATTGATTAAATATCACTCAAAATTTGATAATATTTTATATATGTGTAATGCCACATGAATGCAAGAAATCACTGGTCTATGCTTTTATCGTTACTATTATATTTATTCAAAATTTCAAGTTAATAATTATCAGATCATGTATGCAGATGAAAAATACAAATAAATTTAACTTATCTTTATTAAGTTTCGACGTAAGCCGGCATATAAAATTATATGACCATTTAGGGTCGCCATAAGGCCACAAAAATTACATGTTTTTTACGAGTTTATCAGACTATTTGCATTATCTATGACTGATCGAGTAGCGAGCGGATCTTCCGCCTTCAATCCTCGTCGGGCTCGAGTTAATTCTAGTGAGGATCAATAATTAATGACTATATTTTTTTCGTCAACCACGTAAGTGGCCTTGCTATGCAAGAGATAATTACACCACGATAAATTCTTACCGAAATGTCCTCTCCTACAATCAGTGGATGCCGGTGGAACTCGAATTTGATTGGCTTTCGGCTTGGCGGTCTCATCAAATGATTTCGATCTCGTGCATCGTTTAGGTTTTGTCGGAGGATCGTAGAAACTATTAATCCACGTGCGCCCCTCTCGACCCCATTCTCGAGATCGTTGTAAACCGAAGAAAAATCCCGTAAATTATGAAAAAACGAAGCATGTTCGAAATACACGATGCTATGACGAATTCCTCTCGTGACGAGAAGATTGCCGTGTAATAAGTGACGCGAGGAGAATACCACGACCTGCCCTGGACGAAGTGGTACTATAATCTGGAGTTGAGGGAAGCGTAGTTCTCCTCCCTCAAAATCACCCAATGCGACTAAACAGCAAAGAGAATTCGGCTCGTCGTGCTCATTCCAATGAAAATCGCTAATCGTATTGAAATTAATCCGATCATAGGGAAGACTCCGAATGGTCTATGTGCGAATGGTCCCCAACTTACTTAACTTTGCATATAAATCAGGATAATAAACCTGAACAAATTGGTTAATATAATTTGATAGTGGTATCAACCCACGAAACAGATTATCAACGTATTCTTGGTTTTCAATGTTATGGGAGCTGGCAGTATTAGAACTGGTATATGGGAGGGGATTATACAACGTATATGCACCAAATGCTTTATGAAATTCGCCCAGAATTCGTCACTTCTATGCGAGGGAGGCTCCAACGTATCGAAATAATAGTGATCAACCGTGTATAATAGCGTTTGTATCGTCGAGTTTCTCGAGATGAATTAAGGTCACATTATTTCGGTCTACAATACACCCCAGTTCTATTATGTGACGGAAATCTACCAACCCATTCAACGATTGAAAATTTTTGCGCGCTGATAATATTAGTTGGACCTTCTTGTTTCGTGTAATACGTGTACTTATTGTACTTCGTAAATCTCGTGATTCGATATTATTCTGAACACCCATCGCATGTTTGAGTTTTTTCCACTTCAATATTAAGGTGTTCGCGAACGTCTCTTCTTCGGATTGGCTCCTTCGATCCTAACCAACTACCGAGGTCAAGCCACAATCGTTTTTTTTATCAACTGAGTCAACTTTATTAATAATGTCGGTCTCTATTAACATCAGAAAATTTGAGGGAATCTCGAGAACATTGGCATCGTTTGACCTAGCTTCCCGAATGAGCATTTCTATCAACAGATCTCGTGTGGTTATGTCGTATATAATCTTTACTTCTTTAGATGATATCCGAGGATACTCAACCACTTGTTTCCCAAATAACGAATCTTGTCGGAAGTGCATAACCCCCGAGTCGCGAATTGGGTCCGATGCTAGAAAAAAACAAGCTTAAAATATGCCTTTCATAAAAATAGAAGGTTTATCGTGGGATTGCATGGGAGGACATGTCCTGATTTTCCAGAACATTAGTAGTTAGACCCAGAGCACTGCCTCGAAAGACGATAACTACTCCTATTCTTTGATCCCAATATTTTTTCTCTGCTTATATAAAATGATTATTCACTGATCACGTAGGTATTGCGTATTTTTTGCGGAACGAATAGATTATCGAGTCAAGACACACCAATGGTGATTATGCGTTTGTTACACCCCAAAACTTGCCGAAGCAAACTCGTGTCAAGTAACTCGGTAACCCCTTATCAAAGGCACATAAAAGCAATACGATGAAAAAAAATGTTGACTATACTAGCTATGCGATAATGGCCCACACATACCCTTGACGGGTCGAAAACTATATCAAGCGAGGTAGAAGGGGTGGCGACTGGTGGTACGATAACTTCTGGTTTGCGGGATATCTTTGCCTGCTTTTCCCACTTCATTTTTGCTTTTTATTATAAAGGAGGCGTCGTGACGACTTCGTCTTCTTATCTGGTGCCTCCTCCGACGTGACGGCTTCTTTTCGTTTGTTAACGGAGGACATAATTGCCAAGCTTATAATGTTCAGCGATACGGTTTTAGCAGATAAAAAGATTCTCGGTATATTACTAATAGGAGAAAAGATACAAAAGCAATACTATTCGACGAGCCGTTAAGGTCAAAATAACCTAGAGCCGAGTCCTACTCAAGAATAATATATACTCTTGTGAGAAAAAAGAAGCGTTCGATAATCTACATAGGGGTATTTATATGATAATCAGTCCGATCAAGGGTACATCGATTGATCCGGCAGGCGATCATTCTCGACTCTGATATCGGATCGCGCTTCACGAAGTTTATCGGATGTAAGGATCGAAGAAGTCTTTGCTATGGTAATAGCGTTGCTTCGCAACAGACTCGCCCTATGGCCCCTTTCTAACGAAAGATCCGTGCATAGCATTATACATTTTATAATAACAATTATGCATTTACTGCTTTGCAGATGCGGTCTATACATTCTCAAAAATAATTAAATGTCTTTCATATGGTTCGGATGTTTGTATAATGGCCTAATTTGCTCACATAAGCAGATCAAGCCAAAAAAGTGGACAGAAAAGAATCAAAAATTTATCATTTTCGGGAAGCTTGTGCTATTATCGAATAGGAAAAAAAATAGCATCTGTTTTCTATTCTAAGGTAGGTGCCTAGGCCACCAACGTTGGTAAGGATTATTGGCGTTGTTATGCTCAGGAGCGCTAAGATAAACTTTGCAATCAGCATTTGCATCTAAGGCTAAACCTGTCTGCTTATGAATAATCCTATAGGTGCCAGATATTAGAACAAATCTCCAACGTTGGTAAGGATTATTTTCACCGTTATTCTCTAAACTACTAAGATAAACTTTTCGGTCATAATTGGCATCTAAAGCCAAGTTTGAAAAAGTATGAATAATTCTATAAGTATCATCGCCCATATCTCTGGCTGTCCATCTTTGATAAGGATTACCTTGGCTATTATTACTGACGGAACTCAGGTAGACTTCATAAGTTCTAGGATTGGCATCAAGATTAACGCCAACTTTGTCATGAACAATATTACCAGAAGATAGTATATACATTTTTTCCGGATTCGTTCTTTTTTCCCTATTAAAAATTATTAAAATCGGAAAACATACTGAAAATTTGGATTTATTTCGGAAAATGCTCACCTCTGTTCCAAACAATATCTGAAGGATGTGCAAAAAATGCTTATTTAACTCTTTAATGCGTTCGTTATAAGGTCCTAAAGAAAGGTACTAATGGCTGTTAGGAAATTAAGGTCCAGTTCTTGTCTTGAAATTTCAGAGTTAAAAGGTATGAATAATGAAAATATTACTCTCGAGAAAGTTTCCTTCCGGTTTCGGTTGAGTATTTAGAAGAAATGACTCACCTCCAAATGTCGAAGAAGCCAATTTCTTGAACTAGCTTCTTATTATTGACGCTTTGTTAAAAATTTTGCAAAAATTACAACTCATGAGAAAAGAATAATTTTTCACATGAAATAAGGAATGTCCAATATATATGAAAATTGGTTGCTTCATATAGTGAAGATATGCATACACACAAGCTCGATGCACGTTAGAATGCCATTTAAAGTCATCAAACGTTTGTATTTACTAAGAAGTAAATACAAAATTTAATCCGTAAATATGATAGAATAGACCCTTTCTGAGCATATTTACAGATTAAATTTCGTATTTAATTCTTAGTAAAGAAGTTTATCTGTTTTATAAAATACAAACATTTGATGACTTTAAATGGTATGCATTCATTGTTTACAAAGTAACGTATATCCCTCTTGCAATTCTGGTCAAATATAGGCTAAATTCTGGCTGAAACTATCATTTCTATACGTATAATATAACAACAAGATAACTATTTACTGGCAACTTATAACTAATACAATGGATTTAATTGAATATTTTCAACTTGTTAATTATTTGGATACTTTAAATTTACCAGAGCAAAAGATTAGCAAAAGTTTAAAAACAAAACAAAACATTATTTGACTAAAAATGGAATATCTTACTGATACAATAAGAAAAATTTTGAGCAGTTACTAAAAGTAATTAAATTAACTAAAATAGAAGTTGTTCTTTTCAATAAATATTTTACAACACTTATTGGATATTTTGATATTAAAACAACTTATTATGGAATTTCACAAAATTATTATTGATTTAAAATGTATTTGAATATTGAAAAATATATTAAAACGTGAATATTTGTTAGTGCAAAAAATAAATTAGAAAAAATAATCCATTATATTAAATAAAAAGTAAAGAATCTTTTAAGAAAATCGATATAAATTATTTATATCAACAAAAAAAATTATAATAATTATAATAAATTATTATATCAAATAATTAAAAGCAAGAACAATATAGCTAATATATATATATATCTTGAATTCATAATTCTTATCAGATATAAATTTTTTAATTATAAACTTAATTTGTATTATAAACTCTCTTATAAATTAAGAGAAACTTCATTAAAAAAATTTGTTATATATATTGTTATGATATGAATATTTAGTTTTTATTTTATTGGTTAATTCATATCATAAATTTAATTGAATAATATTTTAGTATTATATTATTGAACAACTATATTTAGAAATTTGAATTTTGATTTAAAAATTCAATTCAAATTTCTATTTGAATTTTTATTTGAATTTTGATTCAAAATTCAATTCAATTTATAATTTTATTAAATATATTTTATTTATAAATATAATATATATTTTAACTAGTAAAAAAATAATAGATTCTAGAATTTTTAGAATTTTCAAAATAAAGTAAATTAATTATAGTCTATATAGACTATAATTAACTTACTTATTTGAATTATTATTACTTTGAAAATAATAATTATTTTGTATTTTAAATCATATACTTGGAGATAGCTATAATCTATCCATTAGATAATATATAGATTACATTTGCATTATTCTTTTTGGGATAGTTATAATCTATCTATCAGGTAATGTACAGATTATATTTGTATTATTATTTAAAAGTTACTATAATATATGTCAAGAATAGACATATAGTATTGTGATTAATAATAATAATATATATTAGTTTGATAATCTTAGCTGATCTCTGTTATTACTTTATATACATTATATTATATATCAGTTTAATAATTGTGATTAATTTTTATTGATAATTTACATAAACAAAAAAATATATTTGATGATATATTAGATTATGTGTTATTATTTATAAATTTAATATAAGAGCTAATATCTGAATCTGATACATAATGTCATAATTTTCTAATTAATTTCTTTATAAAAGTCAGATTTGAGATATATAGTGCTAAAATAATATTTATAATCTGGCTTTGTATAATGTATTTGAATATTAATTAAGAATAAAACATGTAATATTAAATTGCTATCTATTATAATTTACTTGAATATTAATTAAAAATAAAGTATATAGTATTAAATTATTATTCTATTTGCTGATATTCTAAAATATAATTTTATATATTATATATCTTTCTGTAATAATTATTTCTTGGAGTATTACTTTTTTTTACTCGAAATATTATTTATCTAATGCATTCAAATATTATTTAAAGGTGAGATACATAATGCTGAATTATTATTCTTACTTGATACTTTATCAAAATATTGTAATAAATATATTTGTTTTCTATTCTTATATAAGATAGTGTAGTAAATATAGATATAAAAAAATCTTAAATAGCAAGATTATAGTAATTTTATTACTTTTGATTTACTTAATTTACTTCTCAAATATCAAAAAAAATATAATCTTTCTGTCCCAAAAATTAAGTGTGATATATTTTTACCTTCTAGAATTTTTTCTTATATAACCAGTACTTTTAGATATTAATGCAATTTTGCTATTCAAATATATATATAATTAATATGTAATTTTTCTAATCTAAAAAATATATAATGAAATGTAATTTTGTTATTTTAAAAACTATATAACTAAAATATAAACTTATTGTTCTCAAAAAATAATATCACTTATCAAATTATAATATTTAATATTTTTTATAATATAATTACTTTAACTTATCCAAAACTATATCTTAATCAAAATTATATGGCTTGCTATTCCAAAAATTTATCTTTCACTTCAATAATTCAAAATTTTTCAATATAAGTTATCTTTACTAGTATTATTCAAAATATATTATTACATATATATTATATTTTATAATGTAATCACTTTAATCTATCACTTATTTGAAATTATATTTCAATCAAAATTATATAATAAATATTAGATATAATTAAAAAGATAAAGATATTATATTTTTTTGTTATAAATAACTTTCAAGTTTAATTCTAATACTTTGTTATTCAACTCATGTATTATATTGTTATTCCAGTTCTTTTAATAATATTTGTATAGTGAAAGATCTTTAACAAATCTCTTTTTACAATTATAAGAGAAGATAGTGAATCAAGTTAAGTTTATTATTAAAAAAGTTATATGTTATAATTATGATAGGTTCAAGATAGGTTCAAGATAGTTTTATTAACAAAGCTTTTTTATTACTATACTTTTCATTATTGCTGTCTCAGTCAGTATATAATACAAGAATAATAATATTATATAGACTATTTCAAGTCTATAATCAAAATTATACTAAAAATCAAAGAGTAATTATAAGATATTTAATAAGTGAATTCATTATTAAGAACTTGTAATTAAACTTATAATGATATTAACTTATCTTTTGCTATCAAATGAAGTATTACTTATATATAAAATTGATTGTTACAAAGATTTCTAAATATTCATAACACTAAACAAGCAAAATTTCTATAGTTCTAAAGATCAATGTTTCAAAATATTAATAATTTAATATCTCTAATAATCAATAATTCAAAATATCGAAGGTTCAATATATTTGTCACATTGATATACAATACATATAAACAATAAGCCCAAAAATAACTAACCAATAAAATTAAAAATAAATATTGTCCAATAAAATATACTATACAAAGTGTTCAATAAAAATAAACTAATAATTATTCAATAAAATATAACAAACAAAATATACTATAACATATTCCTTCACATAATTCCTGAGCTCTGTCAAAAGAATACAAAATAAAAATAAAAATAAAATAAGAAAAATAAAAGGGGAATAAAAATTATTAACTCTCTCAGTTCTTCATGCTTATTATAAGATACTGGAAGACTTTGTTACTCAGCTATATAATCTTAATCAGTTATAACTAGTGTTCCTATGAACTGAACCAAACTGGACTTTTGCCTGAGTTCGAGTTCGATTCGAAATTCGAACTGAACTTGAACCGGACTTTGGCTTGAGTTCAAGAAAAATTCGAAGTTCAAACTGAACTCAAATCAAACTATTATACGAGTTCGAGTCTGGTTCGAGTTTGATTAAAGATCAGCATATACTGATTTGTAGCTCTAAATATAAGCTACAACTTTATATATAAGTATAATTTATAGTATTTAAATAAGAATTAAAAGTTTACATAGTGATAACTAAAGTGTTTTTATTTTTATATTTATTAAATTTGATCGTAAATGCTATATAACTCTCTGAATAATTATTATTAATGATAACAATCTTATACTGAATT